CTCGGGCAGGACCCTGCGCAGGCGCGTGCGGCGCGCACCTGCCCCGATCCCCCCCCCACGCCCAGGACCCCTGCGCAGCGCGCCCCGCACACCCGGTTCCGGACCACTCCAGACCCGAGTGCCCCGCGAGGCTGCTCGCAGACAGGGCTACAAGGACCCTCGCAGAATCTCTGCGGAGGTATGACGTGTTAGAGTTTCTGGGGGTTCCTTTCCGAGGGTTTTGGCTTGATTTTCTTTAAATCAATGTGGGAATTGCATTAGGAGCAGATTCTTTCCATACCCAACCCAGACGCTAAGCACTAGGCTTTTAAATTTTGGGGTGCACAGAAACAAAAAAAGAAAACCTAACCAAACAAACATTGTGTTATGTATGGGGTCCCGGACACCTTTGCATTGAGCGATATATGGTGCATTTTCATATCCAGAAGGATCTAACAGTTATCTTAAAGGAGCAGCAACACGAATGAACCACAAAGTAAGGAGAGTTTACACCTGACCTGCATACGTGCTTTCCTGTGGAGTTGCATAAGATCAGGATAGTCTTGTGATGCCAGCGGCAAAAGTGTGGAAGGGTGTTTCAACCCACCATGTACAAATAAACGACAAATGCAGGGAAATGAAAAGACCATATCCAAAGGCTCTGGGAAGCCAGTTCAACTTTTAAAAAGCTGACCAAGGGGACCAGGAGCACTCTGCCTACCCTGATCTATTCCCGAGAACTTAAAAACATTAGCATAGAGATAAGCAAACCATTCATAGATGGAAAAATCATAATTCCTAACGGCCCATCTTATAAAACTTTGTCAACTAGACATTGGGAAACTTACATGAAGAGGTGATCTTCCAATCTGTTGGATTGTTGGAAAAGCAATTCTACTCTTGAAATTTAGACTCCATAAATTATCAGTAACATAACAAGAGTTTCACGGACTGAATTTCAGGATCCTGGGAGTTTTCAGATAAGTTCTTACGTATAATTTATAAAAGTTACAGTAACTTTCAAAGTATTTGTTATATGCGTCACCATGCCTCATTATCCAGTATTCTTGAACGATTTGCTATCCACTTTCGGTTCTTTTGTTCTACTTTTTTTTTTTTCCTGTACGAATCTCTGTAAATACGTATATTAGGTATACAAACAACTGCTGACCCTGGTAGGCAAATTAAAATTTAAGGGTGAAATTTTTCCTTCTTAGCAAAAGGGACAATGTTAAATATAATTTTAACTTATTTTAAGATCTAGTGGTCCATATTTAGCATGTCCATTAGGTTAGAGGCATTGCCGTAAATTGTTCACTGTGTCTTTTCAGTCATCTGGAAGCCAGGACTCTTCCCCTCTGTATCACTGAAACTTGGAGGTCTAACTCTGAGTTCCTGAGGCCCAGGCAAGGACTCAGCCCATAGCTCTCTCTCAACCTCCCTTCGTCTTCAGTAACTTCCTTAAGCTTTTCTGAAATCAGAAGTACGAATTCAAACCTTGGACCTGGCGAGATAGGCTCCACATATTATATTTCAGCCTTTATTTTTTAATGTGGAAAAGTAATTCAGGCAAGTTTCAAGTAGATACTTCAAGACATCATGCACATAGATAGATAAAAGATTTGCTCTTCAGAAGGTAGTGTAGTAACAAGAGGGGCAGTTGATTTCAGAAGATCTATTTTCTGTCCAAACTGTGGGTTACCATGGTGAATATTAAAATTTGAATATGATCGGAAGGAAAGAAGAATGATCCAGAACATATACACTACCAGTAATGAAGAAAATAATTATGAACAACAGAATAACAAACTGTTTACAAAACTGTGCCCAGATAATTATTATTGCAATAGCATAGGGCTGAGAATAGTACTTTTTTCCCAAATTCCGGGGTTAAAAGTTAGCTGTAGTTTTTCAGTTTTTCATTATTAAGCCTTCACTTTTAGGAATTTTAACACCAAATGTTCTAGGACATCGAGTAACTGACCTTTTCATCCCTACCAAAAAAAAAAAGCCTCAGTGTGGAGTTGCCAGCTATCCTACAGGAAATTGAGTCACCACCCCAAATACACCTAAATGTCATCTGCAACTAGCAGGACAAAAACAGTGAACCAGTTTAATTTTGGCTTTTATCAAGAACACACACTGCATTCATTAATGAAATACTTTCACCCACAGAGAGCAGTATACACCATGGCTCTGCTTTAAAAGTATATGAAAACTCTCTATTTAACTGTCCAAAATCTTGTTGTCTCAAGGAACTGAAGAGAGAAAAACACCCAGGCAAAAACTATTGGCTACGTGCCAGATGGCGAGGGCAAAGGCAATGAAACAGTAACTAATAATTTGAGTCTTGGGCAGTCCCCTTCCTACATCGGCATTGGCTTTCTTCAAGGTACCCTTGAACTATGTGACACCCATGTTTCTGCTCAAACTCTCCTAGGAGAAAACAGTCCTCAGTGCTTTGGGGCCAGCCTGTGGCTTCCGTCACGGTAATGCGTGCAAGGGTTCCCCTGACACATGGCCTAAAACCTTGCCAAGGCCTCCAAGAGAGGATGCTGAAGTTGCAGCTTCCCTTTGCAAAGGGAAAAAAAAAAGTCTCAGCTCAGAGCCACAGCAGATAGCTAGACTCTGAAGTTGTTTTTGTGAATCGTTCTGCCCATGACTCTCAGCTACTATTTACCCGAATGCTGACCAGTGAAGTAAAAGAGCCTACTCTGTGCTACATGTGACTGTGTGCAGGTTTTCTTTGCCAACGCTTATGGGGGGAAAGGTTTGTGTACATTTGTCATAATTCCTAGACAGGCCCATTACTACAAATGAGGAAAACAAGTGCAAAAACAAAAGTGATTTGGATACCATTTGCTTGCCCTTAATTTAGAAACTAATAAAAATATCACTACCAATTCAGATTGTTTTAAAATTTTAAAAACTTCATTAAACAGATCCTAAGAGCAAAGGCATAAGAATATACCTTTCTAGTCAGTTCCAGGTTCTCCCCTCTTGATTCCCATCAAAATCTCCTCTTTGTTCCTAAGGAAGGAGATAGTGTCTGAAGTAGGCAGAGCTGAAAAACATGATTTCTGCTTCACCATGTATTGCTTTGAGCTAGTCACTGCCTGACTTGGCTGTTGCAGATTTGTGCTGGTTAGCTCTCACTTTTGCTGACATAATTTTTTTTTCCCTCTGTACATTTTATCTGATGGGAGATACATGAAGGCCCTGGATTCTCTCTCAGTGTGTACATGTAACAGGTTTAAGCATAGCTTGCCAGTGGCAAGCAGCTGTCATTTCCAAGTGTATTTCTGGCACCAAGTCTTTGTTTTGAAGTATTTTAAAATATATAAACTTTCACTTAGTACTTCAGAAATTTGTCCAAACAGAAGATGTGTGTAATTTTGTGAGGGTTTTTTTTTCTTTTATCTTCCTACCATCTACATTTTTTTCTAGTGCTGCCTAAGGCTCTAGTACAATATTTTAAATGACATAAGCACAGGATTGAGTATCACTGACTTCTAGTCCCATCAGCAACTCAACTTTTTTTTAGCACTGACTGCATCAGCCACTGAGTCCACACAAACAAGATGACTACAGGAGTGTGTCCCTTTTCTAAGAAAAGCCTAGAGCCCAGCAGTGGGGACAATTTCAACACAGCCCACAGTAGTAGAAAGTACTCTGAAAGAAGAAAGTACTGTGCTATGGGACAGTGAAAGGGGGTTACGTAACTGACTGCAGAGAGGCAGAATGGGGAAAGGGTGAATTCTACACAAGGAAACAGAAGGCAAGTGAAGAAGGTGGGAAGAAGATTTAAGACAAAACAATATGAGCAAACTTCTAGGCCTAGGATCAATAAGATGCGTATGTGTATATGTAAAGAGAAATGAACTACCAGGAATAGAGCTTGGTTCATGGAAAAAGAGGCTGGAAAAGTTTAAGGAATTCCATTGATCTGGAAAGAAAAGACTCAGTCCACACTATTAAGAATGAAAAGGGTGATATGACAACTGACCCTGGAAATCCAGAAGATCATCTACACCTACTTTGAAAACTGTATTCTAATAAGATGGAAAATGCAGAAGAAATGGACAGGTTCCTAGATACATATGAATGACCATAGCTGAATCAAGAATACATAAAAATCCTAAATAAAATGATATCAATCATTAAATCTAAGATGTAATTTAAAAACTATCAACAAAGAAAAACCCAAGCCCTAACAGATTCTCTGCTGAATTGTACAAGAAATTTAGAGAACACCTAACACCAGTATTTCTCAAACTCTTTAATGAAATTGAAAGGGAAGCAATACTCTCAAATTCATTCCTAGAAGCAAGCATTACCCTGATACCAAAACCAGAGAAGGACCCAGCTAAGAAAGAGAACTACAGGCCAGTCTCCCTAATGAGTAGAGTTGCAAAAATCCTCAAAAGATTCTGGCAAACAGAATGCAACAAACCATTAAGAAGATTATATACCACGACCAAGTGGGATTCATCCCAGTTTCAATGTACTGTACATAAAACAATAAATGTAATATACCATATTAACAGAGCCAAGGACAAAAATCATATGATCATCTCAATAAATGCAGAAAAGCTTTTGACAAAGTCCAGCACCCACTCATAATAAAACCCCTACCTAAAATCAGAATAGAAGGTCATTATCTCAATCTGATAAAAGCGATTTATAACAAGCCAATAGCCAACATGTTATGGTTTGTGTCTGAATGTCCCCCCCAAAGCCTCATGCAGTCATGGGGCAGGCTTCTAGAGTTGTGATTGATGCATGGTCCAATGTTGGAATTATGAATGTGAGCGCTACACTTGCCCTGGGGCAGGTAGTTAGCATACAATGTAAGGGAGGGAAAGAGGCTTGCTCTTCCAGTTGCTGCTTCTCCCTTTTGTGCTTGTTGCTTTGCTGTTCCTCTGCCATGAACTTTGGCCCTCTGCCATGTGCCACTCTGCCTTGGAGCCAGCCAAGTATGGACTGAAACCTCCACAAACTGTAAGTTAAATAAACCTTTCCTTCCTTAACCCTGGGTGTCAGGTATTTTGTCTAAGCAATGAGGGAAAAGTAACTAAGACACAACATAATACTAAGTGGACAAAAATTGATAGCTTTCACTCCCAAATCAGAAACAAGACAAGGATGTCCACTGTCTCCACTCTTACCAACATAGTCCTGGAAGCTTTAGCCAGAGCA